GCTGGAACATTCTGTAGAGCAATAGCACCGATTTGACACAGGGTTGGAAAAAACTCACCTGCTCAGACTGATTAACTAATATTGTTGTAAAATAATTAGCCATGTAATTTCAGGTTTTGATGAGGATTGAATTCCACATATCTATTATCACTGAGAAAGCAATGTTTCCACTATCATATATTTCAACTTCAGAGTTCTCAGCTCTGGAAGAGGTCATGTCACTTAATATATTTTAGTAATTTGTTTTATACAGTAGATACCAGTGTGGCATACTATCTCAAGTACTGGCTTATGTTTATAGCCTGTCACAGGTAACTCATGCATCTAGTTCTCTGGTATTCTTTGAATAACTTTGCTAGAATTTTAGTAGACTGAAAAAGTCAGCCTTCAAAAGCATACTAATAAGACGTACTTCCATTATATGGTCTAAATTTGCAGATCTAACACACATGGCTACTGCTGAAGACAGAAGATTCCCATTTACACACTCGTATCACAGATTATTTTTCAATCAGTTTACATCTCATGCAGAGGTAAAAATCTGTCCAGTACCTTTTGAAAAGAGTCTTCATCTGTTATATCATATACTAGAATAGCTCCATTAGAATCCCTGTAGTAGATCGGTCCCAATGCATGAAATCTTTCTTGACCAGCTGTATCCTGCATTTAAAATATACCTGTTAGCATTTAAGACAAAGCAAACAATACTTAAAGAAACTGCAAATACTTTGAAATTTTACTTTATTAAGAAGTGCCTAACATTTGAGCTCTAGTAAACCTAAGTAATTTTTCAGGAAAATACTCTATTTAGCTAGGGGAAGAAAAATAGAAAAGTAAACATACCCATATTGCAAGGTTTACTCTTTTCCCACCAATATTTAGCTTCTTTGTAAGAAAAGATGCCTGGAAAGGAAAACAGATTAGAGTTAAGTTTTACACACAAATGTCTCATTTGACTTCAGATTAATTTACTAATAAAAACATCTGAATAAATAAAAGACAGATTTCTGGATCAAAATACTCTTTAAGCCAGAAGGCTGAGCCAGTTAGTAATTCCATTACAGTTTGCCAGGAGCCTATTCTAAATAAATTTGGCTTAAGCCAATCATTTACTACATGTTTTTGCTGCTGTTTTGAATGATTTGGGAAGGATAACAGAATTGTGTGGAAAGAGTCTGAATTCAGAACACTGATAAGCCTAAGCTGAACTCAAAACATTTCACAAGAATATATGAGCTTTGGGTAGGAACCAGCCTGACAAGATTTTTAATTTGCAGGAATTAGGCAAAGTAGTTCACTATTAGTATGCTGCTAGAACAAAAATAAAAATGGTTCGAGTTTCTGACTAAAAGTCTCAGAACACTAGTATTCTGCATGTTTCCTTGTCTTTAGCTTTTCCCTTTTCTTGCTGAAGTGAGCCCACAACTCTCCTCATCCTTTTTGGGGGGGCTTTTTTTGGGCAGTGGTGTGGTTTGTTTGGGGGTGATATGATTCCCAGCTAACACACAAAAGGAAAGCAAGTGGTAGGATAAGAAAAGCCTCAGAATAAGCGTACAATCTGGTCTAATAATTCCACTACATTATCTTCTGAAAACATTTTACATGATCAGAGCATACTGCAAGGTTAGTCGCATTTCAGTAACTCAAGAGTATGTTTTTCTCCCAGCCTGCATGATCCACATTTTCAAACACCACCTCTGTTACCAAGTGTATATAATTCACTGGCTAAAAAGGGGTATAATTTAATACAAGTTTAATATGCTAGGACATGGTCTGAAGGAGTTGGTACTTTAGGAACCTGCTCCCCCCATTCTGAAGACTAGCAGTAACAGGTTAACATCAGACAATTCAGTTGCCAAGGGTTAACTTTTGTCTTTTGATTTAAGTTATACTCGTTTTCCTCTCAGCTTCACCTCAACTTGCATTTGGATACAAGCAAGTGTTCAGTGGTATTTTATGATACATTCATCCCAGATTATTTTAGGCTGGACTGTAGCAACTCAACATGAGCAACCTGTATGAGCACTGACCAGGCATTGAACTGACTTGAAGTCATGTGTATGTGGAAAGCATCATGGGCCAGATGAGCTGCTTGAACCAGCTTGCTGCTTAACTACACAAGCAACCAGCACACACGCAGAAGACCGTGGCAGTTCAATTTACGCCAGCCTAAACTGTTGTGAAGGAGCCTCACTGGAGTGCTGCCTGTATTACAGTTAAAGTCATCCAACACTCAGCTGCTAGAGCAGCTTCTGCTCTTCAGGTACTTCCCTAACATCAACTCTGGCATCTCCTATGACCCAAGGTGAGATGATTGAAGAACCTTTCCTTCTTTTTTTGAAGTAAACTGTACCTTCTCCCAAAGCTTCCCAAAGTCTGATACACAACAGATAGAGAGAAGACAGACCAGAGAATAGAGAAAAAACACAGAAGCTTTCCAAGAGCAGACATAGACCACTGTACTCAACATAGCTAAAGCATTAACACTACCCCCCTTCAGTCTACAGTAAGGTCACGTAAGTTAACTTCACAAAAAGTTCCAGACAGTATGTTAAAAGCATTTAACACTCTAGCTAACTTATAACAAACAGCTTAACAGCAGAGTAGCAAATCTTAAACATCAGGAAAACTTGAAGTCTTTAATCAAAAACTCTCTGCAGAAAGTAGCTTATAGCTTTCAGCTAGCTGTCCCTAAGGATTATCTGATCAGTGCCTAGCCTTCATATCATAATTTGTTCTACCACACCAGAGTTTAAAAGCCAAAAGCTTAGAGGTGACTTCAGAAGTTTTCATTCACCAACAACACTTGAACCACAGTAAGAAAAGGTACAGTTAGGCACAATGAATCAAGCTTGCCTGACAATATTTTATTGATCTGCTGTACTACAGCACTCGATATTCTATTGTAAATCTCAAAGGCTGTTCGGAGCACTGTTTGCTTTTGTCACAGCACTGACAATCAAATTTGCTCAGATGATATGAATTTCACATAAGTGTTTGAGAATCACATTTCTGTACCAAAAGGCAGAAAAATCCTTCACAGAAAGAGAATTTGTATTTAAAAACCCACAAAACTCAGTATCCATAGAGTTGTATCATTGTGGCTTTAGATACTGGCCCAATTAATAGCACAGACAGCTTTACTATGTGACAGAGCAAATATTAAAGTAGGCTTATTCCCACAGATAAGTTTTGCTTAAGTCCTTCAGGTTGCTACAGCTTGTGTTGCAATACTGTCTTTAAGCACTAACAGTAGAATATTTCCTTTCCTATATACCCAAGGATTGGAAGACCCATACATTCAAGTAAGGCTTTGTAGTATCTCCTGAAAAAAAAAAAAAAAAGAAATCACAGGAGACTGGCCAAGGGTATTTTGCAATGGGCTGTTGTACTTGCTATCTGCATTAAAACTTGATTAGTTTGAACTAATTAGGTTTCAGTCCACCTAAAGTCTTGGGCCCCTAACCAAAAAAGGAGAGACAATAACCTGTATCAGATTTCCTGACTAGAAGCAAGTTTGTCTAAAAACCTTGCCCAATAAGAAGAGTGGAACCTGGTATTTGAAGTAGCCATGGTTAGTAACGAACAGAAGGCTTTGGAACATGCTACAAGAAATACTCTGTTACAGATTAAATGCTTCATTCTTTTTCATTGCGTTCATGTACTTCAAGACTACTGTTAGCAGGCTTCGTTCTTGAATTAATGGGTATGGGCAAGTTTGGCATATTTACCATCAGTATATTTTACAGTGCAGTGGCAAACGTACCAAAGACAAATCATCTAATATCTACCTTTTAACACACCTTTCCACCCCCTTGCAAGTTCCATTTGTCTTATAGAAGATAAGACTCTGAGATTAGAGGGCAAAAAAAAAAAAACCCACCATCAATCAGGTGAACAGCAGGCCTATGCAGTTTTTAGAAATGTAGGGGGAACCCAACATGGAAGCAAGAGCCTTAACTACCGTTTTAAGATAGTTTAGGAACCTAGTTTAGGAAAAAAATACAGCTGCCAAGAGCATCAAAGCCTTTGAAATCAGTACAGTCTAGACAGCGTTGGGTAATTACACATAGAAGAGAGTCAACATTTTTTCTAATCTCCCAAGAACTTATCAAATTAAGTACTACAGATTTAAGTCTGAGTTGTCACTCTACTTACAATCAGTAACTCCTTTCCATATTATTTCCATTACTATGACAATTCATTTTTGCTAGTACTTTCAAAACCGCACAGATAGAGTACCACAGTTAATTCCGTGATAAGTTCTCTCAAAGAGCTCTTTGAAGCAAGCTACTAATTTTGGTATTTTGACTCTAGTCTCTTACAACTGGTCTAAAGAATGCAATTATAAGATCTAAAATCCCATTCTCTTTGTGTGTCCATAGAAAGTATTTTCTTTCTTTTAATTATTTCTTCCCAAGAGCTCAGTTTCACATGTCCATCAGGTCCTGTTAGGAGCTGATAAAGGGGCCTGGAGTAGAAGACAAGGAAGACCCAGCTGGAAAAAGATTCTCTTGAAAGTCACTGAATAAAAGCAGGCATATGTCACCTGCCCCTTGACTGCTTCATCCTCAGCAGAGGCAAGCCAGGCATACAAACACTGCATACAGCACTGAACCTCCTTGCATGGTCTTCCTTCCCCATGTCCCCCCAGCTATCTTAGACAGCCAAGACAGCTTTTCTAGGTTATGCAAACCCAGCAAAGCAATCAGGATTGGTATATTATGATTAGCACCACATCAGTGGCTCTCTTGGGTTGGATATTTTGCAGTCTTCCACGCATTTGAGAGATTGGTACACAAAAGTTGTATTTGTCTTGACTCACTAACAGAAAGTGTCTACCCATTTTTTTTTTTTAAAAACAGTTTAACAGTAGGTTTATTATTGAAGTAATTCAGCACAGTTCACTTGATGTCTTCATAAAATAATTCTAAGCTATAAATCGATAAGAGCACTGCCCTCAGTATTTCAATCAATGGGAACTAACTCTAACTGTCCCACCAGGTCCAGCAACAGATTATGGATTGTATTCATTGCTTGCAAAACCCCCTACCTTTTCCGCTGCATCAGCTTTTTCACATTGTTCTAGATAAATGCTTTCTTCTGTGAATCAGTAGCTACCTTAATTTCAATTTGCAGGTCATCGGTATCTTAAGTACATGACTTGAAGCTAACATAACTACAGCAACACATCCCAGAAGCCTTCTAACCTCAAAGGAAGTTCCAGTTCACCATTTACCTCTAGCTAGCGCGTAGGGAAGGGGCACACAGAGAGAAGAGAAACAGCTCCCTTCCACAGCAAGCCTTCTGTTACCATCACAAAAGAAGCTCCCCTATTTGGACATACACAGGTTGATGATGCAGTAGAGTAATACTTAAGCATTAGAATTCAGATAGAAAAGCATAGATATACACTACATGAGAGATTCACACTGACCAGTTCAAAGACTTCCTGCACTTCCCCCCCCATCACTGGGCTCACACTGCAGGAAGCACCAGCCAGCATCACTACAAGTTTCCAGAAGGCCACAGTCTCACCACCCTTTTCGTTGCAATCATGTTGCAAAGCACTACGTGGTACTTTCTTTTTCCCCAAGTCAGAGATGACTGTGGATGGAGAGCCTCTTGTCTCAGTTTCTAGAGATCTTTTGATATGATTGATCACTGTGGCTACTTTGCTGAATCAGGAGCTAAGTATTTATCCAATTTTGGCTTTATTGGAACAAAAGTAATTTGGTGCACTACTTGGAACTGATGCCATGAAACAAAGCCACCCAATCGGATTAAGCCTTTAATCTTATTTTAAAAAAAGGAAGTTTTGCAAAAATGTCACTTCATTGTTTAATCAGATATGCTAGTTTATCTTATTTTTTAAAGGATGTTTTAATTTGCTAGTGGACAAACTTACTAAAACTCTCTTCTAGAACTGCAAGAGGTAGAAAAAACAAGAATACAGAAAATGCTTCACAAGCGCACGTGATGTACAGTAAGATTCAACAGCAATGACATTGTATTTTACAATCAATAAGATGCATATGTGGCTAAGGAGGCTCAGAACAGAAAAGCAAACGAGTTGAGAGAGACCGTGCAGTCAGTTAAAAGATACAGGTAGCAACCCGAAGCCTAATCACAGTGGAGAAACAAAATCACAATATCAAGCATGAGCATGTGCTTCCACTCCTCTATAAGCACACACACATCCCTGCCAGACAGTCAAAACCGAAAGCTCTCAAGCCATAGTATCTAGAGACATGTTCCTGTCAACATTTTGGAGCCACTTAAAGGTCCATTTTACAACATTTGTGACCCGAATCTGTATTCCAACTCACTTTTTCCTTCTAATTTTGTTTTCCACCACAGATTTAAAGCACTTGAGTAAGAAGAAAAACACCAAGCTGCATCACATGACAAACTACTCAGCTCTACTCTTACTACACGGGATATGAGAATTCAGCTATACATGAACATGTTGATGCATTTTAAATGATTGCAGCTCTGACACCTACAAGCTACTAGTTGTTTCTGTAGCGTAGCAAATATCAATTGCCTCTATGGCAATCAGAGCCACAATCAGCTTGCCATAAATACCACACCATGCCTAATAAACCTACCAATAGATTCACCCAACAGCAGAGTACGAACATAGGGTAACGAAGTTTAAAACATGTTTTTTAGCTCTTTATAGCAAAAATGGAGCAACAGTATCTGCTTATGAAACATTCACTGTATTGTTTCTACTGCATCTCCAATGTTTCTTTGGTTTTTGGTTTTAAGGGAAAGTTTCACTATTAAATACTTCTGAGATAACAAACAAGAATTTTACCCTACATGTGCAGGAATAGTGCACAACTACCCTAAGGCTCCTTTTTGGCATGACCTACTGTTTATTCCATACTTCACAGAACCTCAAAAATAGTTAAAAATCCAGTAGTGGCCCACACGGTGGCAGGGTTTGTTTCTTCGTTTACAAAAAAAAAAAATATTAAGAGCAGTATACATTGTAGGGCTAAAACCAGTCATGTATATGCTCACAACTGCTAAGAAAGATGCTGTGCAATTGGTATAACTGCAGTTAAAAAGGTTAAGCGGAGACAGCCCAAAAGACTCAACATACAACCCACAATATGACACTTAAAATACATTTTCTGAGCCCGTGTATAATATAAGCATTTTATGCTGTACCACGGCATACATGCCATCCAGCGCTAGCATGTAATGACAAAACGTCACTTTCAAGCAGACACCCTGTCACATTTCATAAGTGGAACGTGGCTTTTCAGTACTACGGAGAATCAGGCCAAAATTCAGGCAGATAATAATGTCACAAGCAAGTAAGCCTTAAGAATCTTTTATTAAATCATAAGCCTTAATCTCATAAACCATTTTGCGAAAGCTGTTCTCTTTGCACTCCAGTATTTAGGCAGTTCAAGTGTTAGGATTTGAGAACATGAGAAAGACTATAATTAACAGAGACGCAGCACATATGAACCACTTAGTCATCAGTCCCCTAACAATGACTACAATACCAACATTACTTTCAAATCATGCTTCCCAAGACATTCCTAACTGGGAAGAAAACAAGCAGTTAGCATTCAGAGGAGAAACGAGGCCTTTAAGCACCGAAAGCTTAAGTCGGAGGCGTAAAGAAGAACCAGAAAATCAGCTTCCAGCAAACTCGGCAGCGGACAGCCACCATTTGAAGAGCGGC